GACTTCCTGAATCCGGCTAAAGCGATCGAAGGTTTCGTTGATGAGCTGAGCAACTGGTATATCCGCCGCTCTCGCGACCGTTTCTGAGGCGAAGGCTTAAGCGAAGATAAGTAGTCTGCGTATCAAACGCTGTACAGCGTGCTGGTTACCTTGGCGCAGCTGATGGCTCCATACACGCCGATGCTTTCCGAAGATATCTATGTGAATCTGACTGGCGGAGAAAGTGTCCATCTGGCTGATTATCCGAAAGCGGATGAAGCCCTGATCGACAAAACGCTGGAGCAGGATATGGAAACGGCCCGTCAAATCGTTGAGCTGGCCCGCAACGTGCGTAACGAAACCGGCCTCAAAACACGTCAGCCTCTTTCCGGCCTGGTGGTTTCGCTCAGCACAGACTTTGACGCAGCTTCCTATGAAGAGATCATCAAGGAAGAAATCAATGTCAAGAAGATCGAAATCGAAAGCAGCGACAGCGGTGTCGTCGATTTCACGCTTAAGCTGAACTTGAAGGTGGCGGGGAAGAAATACGGCAAAAACGTCGGTTTCCTTCAAGGCTTCCTGAAAAATATGGCCCCTGAGGATACACGCCGGGTGGTAGAAAACGGTGAACTTGACGTGGTTTCTCTTGAAGGTGAAGAGCTGAAGCTGACCTCGGATGAGCTGCTGATCGAGAAGAAAGCCAAGGAAGGATTTGCTTCGGCTTCCGGTTACGGCATCACTGTAGCGCTGAATACGGATCTTACACCTGAACTTGAACAAGAGGGCTGGGTGCGTGAAGTGGTCCGCGCTGTACAGGATACCCGTAAAAAGCTGGATCTTCCTATCGAGAAACGTGTAGCGCTTACGCTGAACGTGGATGAGGAGCTGAAGCAGGCGATAACTGCCTTTATGGACGTGCTGAAGGAAAACGTCCTGGTTACGGATGTAAACTTTGGAGAAGCGGCAAATATGGAAACCGTGGATTTGGGCAGCAAAAAAATCGGGGTTGCGATTGCGGATTAATCGTTACTCTGCATGGTCTTCCCTGTACAGGGTTATAATACAAGCTAAAGAATAGCAAAACGGGCTGGGCAGCCCGAAGGACACGTTGGACTTTTATAAAACTTCGCTAATAATGTAAGTACGGTATTCTACATATTATGTCATCTTGCAACTATCTACAAATCAAAAAGTTAGAAAGCCTGCTATAATACTAACTGGATTTACATGTTAAGCTAAAATGTTAATTTGCGGGAGCAGATTTTTGATGGATAGATGTTATTAGAATGATTGCGAGCCACTGCCACATGTCGCAGAAACGCTTTTTGTGCAAAACTTTATCCTTCATTTACCGGTACTGATCTTCTCCGATGTCTTCGTACGTTGCGCTCGTGATTGGCTCGACTGGCGCCGTCGGCCGCGACCTTGTTTCTGAGCTCGTGGCTTCTGCCAAGTGCTCGAAGGTCATCGCTCTAGCGCGTCGCGACGTCCCCGAGTCAGCCTGGAGCTCGACGTTCCCGTCGTTGGACGCGGAAGCGGCCAAGAGCAAGCTGGAAGTTCGGCAGGTGGACTTCAACAGTCTCTCGGAGGCTGATATCAAGCCTTCAGACAAGGTGAACGCTGCCTTTTCATGTCTGGGCACGACCCCGCAAAGACGCTGGCTCTGCTGAGGCCTTCCGCAAAGGTATAATGACATCGTTCCAGGGCCGATTCTTGAGCTAAAGTTGCGCTAACGAATGCATATGTTGCTGTAGTGGATCTGGAGTACGTGAACCAAGTTCGCCGAGCTGTCCAAAGCCGCAGACGTCCCGTATTGGGTCTTTGACGTCTCAGGCGCCACAAGACAGCTGTTCTGTATCCCAGACAAGGCGAGTGAGACAAGGCACAAGAGTCCACGTAGCCTCTCGCCGGATCGCGGGGGATTCGGAGACGAAATTTGGCGAGTTCGGGGATACGTTTGTCGGAATGGACCGTCCACATCGTTGTGTATTTTTCCCAGCCTCTGCCGCCCGGGAAAAATGCCGGGCCCACACAGATAAAAGTTTTTTTTTTCCCCCCTTTCCGAGGAGAGAAAAAGCTCGGGGGCCCAAGATATTTTGTGAGAGAGAGGGGGGGTTTTTCCCCCCTCTCTTTTTTGGGAAGAAAATTATTGCCATAAAAAATATCTCTCTTTCTTTTGAGAAAAACACCAAATATGTCGAGAATATTTTTTTTTTTTTACAAAATTTTATAAGAACAGGAATCTGAGAATATCTTTATCTCAGTACATTCTCTGCCTTCAGCTTGAAGCGCTGTTTGGCCAGCTTAGCCACCTCCTGAGCACAGCTCCAGTGCAGGGTGTGGCCTGATCCCTCGTGGCCGTAGTTGTGGACCACTACCGCCTTCTGTTTAGTCGCAGTGGCCTGCATTTCAAGACGCACACCTCCAGTGCGACCTGGTCGAAGGCCCGCCATCTTGTCAATCACTTTGCTGTTACGAACTTCAGGCCATAGACGACAGCACCGCTCCCACACCCCGTCAACATCATCGTCCTTGTTCTCTGTACTCCAGTTATGCTCCTGCACTGTCTCTCCCAACACAACGTCGCCATCCGGACGAGGGATGATGTACGCGGGTTACCCCAATAGATTTCGAGTCTATCGCCTTAACCGCTCGGCCAGGCTTTCCTAGCATCCATACAGACTCCCACACACCCAAGCAAAGTTGCTTCAACCATTACACGCCAACCAAGCTTTGAACACGCCCTGGATGCCCTCACCCGACACTGAACAAGTCGTGGTTACCCGCAGCGCCACCTCCCGCCTACACACCCGCCATACGGACGCCACCATACGCCACTAGGCACATTCGTCCTTGCTTCGTCTCCACGGTCTTCGTGCTGAAAGCAGTGCCACATCCAGGTCGACCTCGCGCGGCAAGGCCACACACGACGCGAGGTGTCGTGTCTTCTGGACGTAGTCGCGCATGGTCATCGTGCCTTGCCGAAGGGCGAAGAAGTCTGCCCGAATTCGGGATTCATGTTGCGGCGGCTCGAACGCGAGCCGAAAGTCACTCTGAAGGGTATCCAGAGTGGGGAAGACGTTGGGATCGATAACCAACTTGCCGAGAGCCCATTCCTTGGCTTTCCCAGACAACCGCGAGAGGAGGAAATGGACCTTCGCGGAAGGCGCCTCGATCAACCTCGAGGCGATGGCGATGTCGATGTCGATCTCTTGAAACCAGCGATTCAGCGGAAATCGATCTTCCCCGGCATCGGAGTAGGTGGACGTCTCTAGCTTCACGACGTCATTCGTGGAGATACGCGAGGGAGTTGACACTCGCCGATTCGCATCGGCGAGCTCGCGTTCCATGAATTCTTGTGCCTCAACGCGCTGCTCGTCGGCCGTCGCTGAGCGCAGCAGCGACGTAACGACGGCTTCTCCGGACACCGCCGCGAGGCGGTGGAGATCTTCCCACTCGATCCGAGTGAAATGGAGAAAGGCAGCGTGGTCGAGGTCTTGGCTCATATCAAACTTGGTCGTTGGAAGGACCAATAAGTGCTACCAGGTGTGACGGGCCAGGTATTTACTCCGTTACCTGCTTACACTATAGTGTTGAGGAAGCTCGCAATAGGACGCCTGAGTCTTAGGTTTAAGGAAAAATCAACTCTGACTTTATTTTAGGACCAAGGCCACAGCCGTGGCCACTCAAATACACGTCAGATGTCCAATTGGCTAATAATGGGTCTGGCTTTGTCATATCGTTGATTTGAGAAGCAGGCAAGCCCCAAGACGCTTTCCACCTCCCCATATAGCCTCGCTAACGGGTCCATACGCATAGAGTCCGTAATGCGTCCGTAGAAGGTAGATACGGCCTTAGCCC